CAGCGACGGCGGCGGGGCCCCTCCGGCACCGCGCTCGGCTGCTCCGGAGCGGCCGGGGAGAAGCCTGAGGGGCTCCGGAATAAGCAGAGGGGCCCGTGCCCGTCGCAAGCTGCAGCCCTGAGCTCCCGTAGCCGCCCCGGGTGTGCGTGTGTGTGAATGTGGGTGTGAGTGTGCATGTGTGTGTATGAGTGTGAGTGTGTGTGTGAGTGTATATGTGTGTGTGCATGTGTGTGTATGAGCGTGAGTGTGTGCATGTGTGTGTGTGAGTGTGAGTGTGTGTGAATGTGGGTGTGCGTGTATGTGTGCATGTGTGTGTATGAGTGTGAGTGTGTGTGTGAGTGTATATGTGTGTGTGCATGTGTGTGTATGAGCGTGAGTGTGTGTGAATGTGGGTGTGCATGTGCGTGTGCATATGCGTGCACCCCGGGGGCAGATCTGGGCCTTCAGCCCAGCTCCCTTCCAGGCAGGGTGGCTTAGCGGGTGACCCGGATATTTCTGTATCAGCTCCGTGGCTGCTGTGCCCACCCCTCGGGGGTTCAATGAAACCATCATCCCCGCCTGAGGCAGTGCTTTTCCCAAGGCGCTGCGGGGCTGGGAGGTCTCATTGTGAGGAGACTCGCCTCCAGTGCACAGTGGTGTCCGTGGCTTTCCCCACTGACGTTTGTGTACTCTGCTTCTGTAGAGGCTCTGATTATCCCCTTTCACTGTTTGAAAGAGGGCTTTTCCCCCTTTCACCCCCACAGCTTGATTTGGGTCTGGGGTGGGGTAGGTTTGGTTTGCTCTTGTTTGTGTGCAGATGGTGGATCAGGAGACATGTCGCTGCAGATGAACACCAATAAATTATTTAATCTCTAGGAATTGCTTCTGCAGAAGCATGCTGGAATGGCGGGCAGTGGGTTTTGGTTGAAGGGAGAGGCTGTAGAACTACAACAGTGGAGTGTACACGTAGAGCCCATAGGCAGGAGGGCAGGCAGTGACCACACAATAAGCACACAATCACTCTTGTTTTCCAAAGAGCAGAGCTCTTGTTTTTTGAAGCAAATCACATTAAGATAATAACCTGTTTGCTGGACTAGATTGGTATATTGAGGACTGAAATACACCCGTTTTGTGTGTGTGTGTGTGTGTGTATATATATATGTATATATATACATGCATTTCATTAAAACTACTCAAAGTAAGGCATGCTAGGCTTGCAGCTTTGTACCTAATATGAAAACGTCAAGGAAGCTGCTATGGTGGATGGGCTTACAGTGTTGGAAATTGGGAGGCATCAGTGAGAGTGGAAACTCCAGTGAAGTGTGCGGAGGCTGGGGTGGGGACAGCGGTGTTGCTATGAGCACGGCAGCAGCAGCTGGAGAGAGCCGCGCAGCCGCGGGCGCCGCGCAGAGCAGCGCGGGGAAACCGACACTGCTGAAAATTAATTTAAATATAACGTAGGCATTAGCATTTCACCTGGTCAAGCTCCATTAGACAGCCTTGCTGAGAACCTAATGAATTCTTAATAAAGATTAAATCGCATGTTCATTAGATTTTGATGAAAGAGTGCTATTTTTTTTTAATACTGTATTATTGGTGTGCTTCTAGATAATAAATCTCATCCTCATGAATGGCTAAAGCAGCTTCACACTTGGATATTGCCTTGAAAACAAGCACAGGACTGTACAGAGAGATTGGAGAATGCTAAGACAAAGGAACAGAGAGCAGACATTGTTACGTAGGACTAGAAGAGGTTACACACTGCCCAGTTAATCCTTGAAATGTTAGGTGGCAGGAGAAAAAGTAGAAATTACAGTAATTTGAGAGTGTAGCCAGGATGTAGATAAGGATTTGTAAATATAATTCAGGATTTTTTTTGTGAAGTATTTGAAGATACCTTTTAACTGGTGAGTGGGGGGTTATTGAGCAAAAGAGAGGTACTGGTGAATGACAGATGTGGAACTGGAGTCTGGAATGTACATCTTAAACAGTGGCAACACTGAGAGAGAGAGAATGACACTTTTCCTAGCACCAACAGATGTGGAACTGGAGTCTGGAATGTACATCTTAAACAGTGGCAACACAGGCTGGGAATGACACTTTTCCTAGCACCAGTGGTTGTTTTGACACCCTTCAGCCGTGCACTTTGACTACTCCACCTTGGCTGATTAATTTTGCTGTATTTTTTCACAACCAGTCCAGATACTTTTACCCATGTCTGAAAATGAAGGGTCAGAGCCAAGCTAGTCAGAGGAACCGTTTTGAAAGGCATGGTTGTGCCATGCAAGCCAATGAGACTCTGGAGTGTGCCACAGCATTCGGAATCAGGCTGTGTCCAGATTCTGTTTTCACTCAGCTTAATCTAAAAACCATCTGTAACCAAGGAAAGATGGGGCTTTCTTTTAAAATCCAAGCTAGAAGGTGAGAATTACTAGACAAGAGAAACTCATCATCCACTCACACCACCCTATCTCAGTAAATTCACAATGTAGGAGCGCAATGGATGTTAACATTTTTTAGATCTTATGTATTCAAATAAACGTCGAGCACATGCAGAATTTGGAATTTATAATCTTCTTTTTTGGAATACCTGGATTGTAGCATGAAGTAGAGACTGATGTTGTTCTAGGGTATTTTTGTGGGGACTTAAAACTCTGGTGAATATGCTTATTCATCAAAAGCCCCAGTGGAGCAGGACACCGAGCATATCTCCATCTCTTACTGCTTAGCAGGACACTGAAATCTGTGCCACGATCCAGTGGTGAGCAGGGTTGGACTGCTTGGGTGGGGACACCATGCGCTGCCATCAGCACAAGGCTTCCAGGGAATTCAGTGTTTGATCGTGCTTACCCTGAGAGGCTGCCTTAGCTGGCATGGCTTCAAAAACAAGGTCCTGCCACCTACTCAGCAGCCACCATTCTGGCTGGTGAGCCAGGGCAATATTTCACCTTCCCAAACAAGGGGTTGGCAATAGGTGTGGCAGAGGAGACATGGCTTCACCTGCCCACAGGAAAAATCTTGGGGTTTGGGTTTTGGATTTTGCTTTTGCAGAAGCAGCAGCTTCTGTCCCCTGCTGAGCTGGGCACAGAGAGCTGGGTCCAGCTCCCTTTCACAAGATGCCGGTGCTTCCAGCCCTGCATGTCCTCCAGGGCAGCCATGTGCCTCTTCACCAGAAGTGCTGGCAGCTACTCAGTTGATAGGCTTCTCTGCTGTGCCCGTCATTTTCACAAAATGGTTTTTATGTTAAGTATGAGAAGGATGGAAATATACAACCAGGAGAAAAATACACTAGTGTACAGTGTTTATCTTGAAATATCTACTATCTTCTCCCCAAAAGCCATCAGTCCCAACAGTCGGCTGATACATTGTTCTGACCTTTTTCAAAAAGCCCCTCAAAACAGCCCTAGGTTCTACTTGCTCTCTATGTAACCAAATTACTTATAATCTAATGAACTTCTTCAGTGAGAAGCAGTCCCCGCCCACTGGTTTTACAGCAATTTGATGCCAAATGCCATTGAAATGAAATGATGTGCTGTGAACACCCACTTCAGTGCTCTTTGCTGCATGTCTGTGTCTCAAATCTGTAGTGATTTCACACTTGCAGCCCCTTCCCCCAGGAATACTTCACCCCACAGGAGCTAACAGCACAGAGTTGCTTCGCCTCTGCAGCATCTTCCCAGGGACAGGGCTGCAAACTGTGCCTTCATGGTCTGTCCCACGCCCCAGCACAGCTCTTCTGCCTCTGCCACGGGGTGCAGAGGCTCTGCTTCCATCTGGGATCTGTTTGATCGTGGTGTGAGCTGGCAACCCAGAGGCACAAACCTCACTAGAGCACCAGGTCAGGCCAAGCCATCCTCATCCTGATTTGTCTCCTGCTGTTTTCCAGGATTTCTGTGATTTAAAGCCCAAAGTAGGGCAGCGACAGGCTGCACCTGGGCAGTATTTGAGCTGGGTTTCAATAAGGAGGGGAAAG